AAAGTTGAGAGAACAAATGTGATGCTTCTTTAATCAGAAGTTGTGTGTTTTTCTTTGGTAGCGAGTTCCTGAATGCTGTATCTACCTCAGACATATTCATGTGGCTACAAAGCTTTGAAACCTCCTAGTTTTAGTAGGCGTTTTACAGCACTTTCTTTGAAACCTCCTCCTACAAAAGCTTCAGACGCCTTTCGGGAAAATGAAAAAAGAACCCCTGACAACTTAGAGAAAAAGTAAAAGTCGCTTTAAAAGAGGTAGTATACGATACGATTCAATGAAATATGACATATGAAGCATAATCCATATTGGGAAAGATTACTCTGCTGGAGAACACAAGAACAGCTCTAGGTAAGACTTAGCACCAGCTCTATTTCCTCAGCAGACACTCCGAATCTAAAGTTGCAAAGGAAAAAATCCGATACCAACAATGGAAGGCCTTCATTAACTGCTAGTCTGAAACTACTAGAAATAACACGAATTACTGTCTAACAAGCCAGCTCGTTAAGACAATGTTATAAGCATGAGGGTACTTTGTTATCTGTCTTCAGATGATAATGATGATAATTGTTAGCATTATAGTGATTGTGGTGATGGCGGTGGTTTTCAGCATACGGGTGGTATGGGGTGGTTTGTATAATAGAAAAGATGAGAAACCAGTATCCATAAGGAACTGTAGAAGACACGGTTGCCAAGAATAAGAAGAAGAAGGAGAAAAGGAGGAGGAGGACGAGGAACGGAAGGAAAAGGGGAATTCAGGGGGAGGATGTTAAGGTAGGGAGGTAAAAAAGTAGTTAAAAGCGATCTGACGCAGCAAAAACAACAGTAGCAGCAGCCGCAAAGACGACAATTGCATCACCAACAACAATTACAACAGTGACGATGACAACAACAACAACAACAATAAAAACAACAACAACAACAACAACAATAACAACAACAATAACAACAACAACAATAATAATACAAGTAGCATCTCCAGGAAGATAGCAAAAATTCTATCAGAAGACCACAGCAGCAGCAGCACTCAAAAGTATGACAACTTCCATGGCACTAATTCTGCAACCAGGTTCAAAAGACGACACTGCTGCTGGCATATCTTTGTATCGATCGTATTCTCCCTCCGCTCCACGCAAAACGAGGCAGTGGCGACGACAGATTTTAGCCAATGAGATCGAAGCTGGTGCTTTCGCGCGACTTCTGCAATGGCGGATCACCTAGTCCACTCGGTGCGTCTGCTGGCGGTGGAGTAGTCTGCTCTTGTTGTGATCCCATTCTTTTTCTCCGGGACTGTTTGTAGATTAGAAAAGCGGGGGAACTATTTTTTTTTTCAATTGGAAAGCCTGAAGTGCGTAGATCTATGACAATATATTATATTTCTTTCTTCATTTCTGTTTTAATTCCACGTCGTTTATTCTTGTGGAATAAGTAAATACAAAAAGTAAGAAACTCAACGAAACACCTTCTTGAAACAGAAATCGCAGCTGTATTCATATTCCAGGCTTTTATTTGTGCTGCACACAGGGACAACAAACGCATTGAAAGTCAAAGGTAAAGTCTTCTAGAGGAACTAATTTTGCGGTGTTTGTGTGTATGTGTCTGTGTGAGGGTGTTTTAAATCTTACATACTCTTACTGTTACTGAATTAATATAATTTCAAGTAAACGAAAAGTTTTGTTAATAATTTTAACTGTCCGTTCAAAGACAAACATTAAAACTATCCGATTATTTTGAACTGAACCTCGAGTTCTTGCCTTAGTCTTTTTATAAAGTTGCATTACAAATATATAAAACGTAAATTTGCTGGTTTTATTTCTCAAAAGTGAACCATCACCACTTTATTTCAACTCCTAAGCTCACTTAACGAGACCTTATGAGGATGTAGCGTTTGAAAAGTGTTTGAAGAATGTATTCCTTTGACAAATATGTGTTTGTATGAAAGGGATTAGATCCATTTCTCATATACTATTTAAATATTAAATGTCAAAGTGGATTCATTGTAGTATGACAAATTTAACGTGACTCTGACCTTTAGACACATGTCCACAAGCACACTGAAGAAAGAAAAGACACCACAATCACATACAATTTGACACCGATATATCCATCTACTAAAACAAAGGTATTTGTTGAAATATATAAACAATACAATAAAAAAAACGAACAATTTAAAGCCAAGAAAATATATAATATTCCCAGAGTGACTCATTCTCATTTCTCTAATTAAATAATTGTACAGACAGTAGAAAAAGGAAACTTACATTTGCCAGCTGTGGGGAAGATCTACTCTCGCCTCATTCGTGTGAAGAATTCCCGAACGGACCTTACATATTATACAGCTCTGATAGAATTGAGTGACCCTTACTGCTGCCTGGCTTACGACACAAACCGCTTTTGCTGCTGAGGTGGTGTAAAGTTAGCATGTGTAGCACTCTGACGCTGGAACTCATGTTCGAGTCTACTCCTTCCAAGACCTCCTTAGTCAGCTGTCAGTAAGCTCAGAGTAAGTAGATGTTTTCCACTCTTTTGGTGTTGTTATAGCTCATTCCTCATTATTATCATTATTCTCATTATTATATTATTATTTTTTTAAAATTTTTTTTAATTTTTTAAAAATTATTATTATTATTATTATTATTATTATTATTATTATTATTATTATTATTATTATCATTATTATTGCTATCATCAGTATCATCATCATCATCATCATCATCATCATCATCATCATCATCATCATCATCATCATCATCATCATCGTAAGCAGCAGAGAGTAAAAAAAAGGTTGAGACTTGTAGAACTTCCAAAAATATTTTATATACGTTCTACGTTTCGCCCCCGATCATCATCATCATCATCATCATCATCATCATCATCATCATCATCATCATCATCACCATCATCATCATCATCACCATCATCATAATTATTACACCGTCGAATGTTGTGAAATGGTTAGGTTCTTTGCCGATACATCAGAAGATGTAAGCTCAATTCTCGTATTGAGGAGCTGTTTTGTCCATCGTATCTCTGTCAGTGTACAGGAATGTGGCACTCCGCTCAATCTGGGCAACTGGCCTCCTAAATGATCACAATTCGCTACCCCAGAATTACAAGGTTCTATCTGACATTGTTGGCCGTTTTGAGTTACTTAGACCATGAGGTCAGAAACCAAATGTTCTATCTACTTTGTCAAAATCGTAAGGTTTAATCTAAGTTGTAATCAAGATATTCAAAGAATCGCATTTAACCCATTGCGCCCGAGCTACGAGTATATTATTCGTAGCTGCCGCGCGCTTTCTTTCATTGAGCTACGACAATTATAATAGTCGTATCAAAATACCAGCCCACAGAATCGAGTCCGAACCACTTATCCAGGTTTCTATTGAAAATAATAGATCGCTTCATTATAGCTTGTACAAACTTTTGCTAGCTTGTTTTGATCCAGTTTTTCGCCAAGTACGGGTTAGTTATGTTGTTTTGTCACCGCAAATCATGGCAAGAAAGCGAGGACTGAAATCTTCATGGACCAGAAGAAAAAAAAAACAGCCACAAAAAAACAACAGTGCCATGGCTATTTTTGTGCTTGTTAAAATACGTGAACCATGTTTAGTTTTGTTTTAGGCATATGCGCAAAGAAAGTGAAAGTAGACGTAAATCTAGAAAAACAAGGTGATCAGATTGATTTTAGTTCTTTGAAAACTTCGAGGAAAAGGTAGATCTAGACCATAGTTTAAGTTGCTCTGGGTAAATCGAGTGTCGATTAGTCGAAGTCGGACGAAGAACATAATATTATTTTCTCTGCTCTTTCCTTCATCTTTCTCTCTAATAATATTAAAAGAACATTTTAAATACAATGTATGCGAAGTTTCAAATTGATATCTTTGATAGTTTTGGTACAATGCGTGTCTACGTTAAGTGTGTCGAGTTCACACCGATCCCATCCCCCCCCCCCCCCCCTTCCAGCTCGCGGCAAGCCAGTTGGACACCAGTTCACTACCGCGGCAACGTAGGGTGTTGACATGATGGGAAACTCAAAATCTTTGACGTCACATTTATCCAAACTAGGTACGGAGCAAATAGAACTTTGTAATTCTGAGTTAACGAATTGTCTGGGAACGAGGCATGGGACATTTCCAATAAATCGTATTACTATAATCATAACTTAGCCAATACTATGATATTTGCCGTCTACACGACATGGCGTAATATACCCTGCTGACTGCAGTGTCAGAAGTAGAAATTATCGCGACTGGTGACGTTGATTTAGCAAACTGTGCCACGTGTCTGAGTTATTATTACACAGGGAAGGGGATGGGGGGGGGGGGGGGGCTAGAGAAATGAAAGGTCGGCCACCTTGCATCAGTCAACGATGATGTTTTTTATATTGTAGGTAGTCGTAAGCTGAGAGTGACATAGCTTCACTAATAGGACGAGGTTTTTTTGTGCGTGTTTTCCATGATTTCAGCCCAATTTTAACAAATTAATTCTGGTGTCTGTCGTGTTCTACATAGACTCTTCGTTACTTCACGTGTAACAAGCTACACCGAAATGCCAACCTCCTATATAAAATGTATTTTGTCAATATGAGTGAACATTATTCACAATAATTCATTCTGGGCCAATCTGCAAGAATTGGGAAGGTGTCCTCGTCAGGACATTTTGACTTTTTGCTACCATCCAATAGCATGGACTCTTCTGGGGTTTGCTGTACTTAATGAAAATACGTATGTATGTCAGAAATAAATAATTATCTAAAATACCTTATTTCAGTAAAGAACTAAAAGAAAATAGACACTAATATTGTGGAACCTAAAGTACAAATTACTCAAACTCAGCCATCTTTTGGATTCTAGATCAGAACAGAACCAAGCTTGCCTAAACATTCCCAATTCACGAAAAAAGCATCACATAACATCGTTTCTAAAGCGAGGCAGACAGAAAACATGTTTTTTTAAAAAAAATCTGAAGAACTAAGAAAAGAACAAATCTTTATTCAAGTGAGATTGTAAGGTAAAATTTAATGGCAGTCTCCAGCAGTGAAGCTCATAGATCATGGACAATAAAAATGTCATACATGGACATCGTCTGCTTGCTCTCCGCAGTTGAACTCTCTTGGAAGTCTGTGGAGCTAAACCAAGCACTTTCTCCATGTTTGTTAGGCCTTACGTGTATTATTTGCTATACACGACCAATTTTTACAATATGTCTGAGGTGTAATGGTTAGCTGCCTCTTTGTCGTTTTGCTCAGAAGACACGACTTCGAATTCCACTTGGAGAAGGCATTTTATCGAATGATCTTATGCAGTTGCGAGCGCCGTAAAACCTCTACTAAAACAAAATATTGTGCTGTCTTTATACTCTATAGCAGAAATCCTGATGATAAGCTTCTCTTACTAAAGTTTTTAAAAGTATATTTCCAAATTCCAGATTTTACCATAATACTAAAATGCCTTTTCTAAACGAGATACACATAGTGACGTGTACACTGTATTGCAGTGCCTTTTTCAACACAATTTGAATGTCAACTTCCATTTTCATTCAAACCTAGCCATGTAAGAGAACAGGCTTGAAACTTTCTAACTGTAACCATATTCCAAAACCGAAATGCTCATTTTCATCGCAGTCTTGAACTAAACAAACTGAGTTAAAGAAGTGAGAAATTCCTCGCACTCCCTGGTCAAAACTATGACCAAACACCCACCCCTCCCAACCTGCGCCCCTAGCCTCCATAATCCAGACACACACCTCGTTTTTGTGGCGTGGATTCACGTAATGTGGTCTTTAGTCTGTCATGGGTCTACTTATAACTTTTCCCCAGTGAACTAACTATATGGTGTTGCATAAACAGGCCAGGTAGCCGGGCGTTGTGCCATTACTGCCAGTCAATGAAAGAAGAGGTCAGTGAACTCAGGAATGTCTTCACCCCTTTTGTTGGCCAACAGAATACGTGCCGTAATTGTTGCACATTTTACATTGAGTTCAGTTGCTATCTTGAAGGACTGTAATGCAAGTCTTGAATCGTCAAAATGATTTTAATTGAGTGATTTGAATAGCTTATGTGGCGCTTCGACCCTTTTCTGAACGTTCGAGCTCGAGCTCTTGAATCATTTGTAAACTGGAACGAAGCAGAAATTTAAAGTAGTTCCATGGCCAGATTTGTGTTGTTGTCCTTTAAAGGAGAAGGAATATTAATCAGTTGTTAAAGAACTCTTAACTTGTTCAGTAGGAGTGTGAACGTCGAGGAAAGTAAGCACAACTGAAAACGGTCTCCCTTTTCTTCCTTTCCTGTACTTACGTTGCAAAGAAAACTTCGAGGTTGCTCGCCGTTAGCTCTGTTTGGTTTCAGCTTTGTTGTACTAATGATCTATCGTGTTTCAAGTACCCATTTTAATTAATGATGTTCTTGTTGTTGCAATTTTCCATAAGATCTCAATTGTGGGATTTTAGAGAGTTTTTAAGGCTTAGGCCTTCTGGGGATGAATGTTAAATGTTGAGTCTCCGGCTGCTTTGAATACCATACAATGTCGAAAGTGGTTAGCCCATACCTTACTGACGTCATCATTTACGCCTCAGGGTTCAGTCAACGTTGAAAATAAACTTTATCCCTCCCTTCTGAATTTGACATAATAGCCTAACTGGGGTCAATACTCTCAGAAGGGTCCAATTTGGCTCATCGTGTGTGAAAAGGACGCTTTCACCCTATTACAGAATTGGGAAAGCATGAGAGGCTCAAATTGATTTTTACTCTGCGATATTGTTCTTCTTCTTCTTCCTCGTTCTCGAACCCTGCGATATTGTACTAGTTCCGGTTTGTCTGTGGCTACACGTCATCGGTTGCACGACGCATCGTGCTAGTGACGCCTGCTCCATCTTTTGATGGCCAACAACAACGGCAGTGTACCGATCAATACTCCTTGATGTCACACAAATTATAGCATTATAGCAGACCACAACTTTCCTCATAATACAAGCGACACTATAACATTCCAACAGCCTGTGCGCGCGCAACGCTCGAAATCCAAACATAACAGCGACGAAACCTTTGAGCTCTTTACGACCAACAGATTTAGAAGGAAGGGCAGATTATGGGGAGACGGCCGACAACATAATATGACGTGCAGTGGTTAGGCCTTTGGCTCGTACGTACAGAAAGCAAACGCCAGTTCACTTCCTGCATTGGGACGTTATTTTGTCGAGTATCCCCCATTGTCTTGTGGGAGGACCTTTCGAGCCGAAGCAGTCCTCCTCTAGTATGATCCAAGTTCTGTCCACGAGTTGTAGAGCATTTATGTCACGACGCAGTGGAATCAGGCACTCTTTAATTTTTGGGGCTTGTAGCGTTACTGATATAATTCTAAAGCTTGTTAAGTGTCTTGCTTTCAATTTTAAAATGCTTATCTATCTTGAATAGAAGTCGAGATATAATGGACTGGTGGAGGTGGGAGGTCACCTGGTAGCAGAGGTAAAATTAGCGAGTAGGTGGTCTCCCAAGTTTGGCGT